ATATCTCTTTTTTAAAGTCATGTAACCATGATAGAGGTCCAAAAGTTGTCACTTAGTTTGATAATCTCAAAATCTATCAATTTTTAATGGGGTTAGATGAATCCTATAGTACCATTCGCACTCAGATTACAAACATAGAGCCTCTATATGATATAAATAAAGTATATGTCATGATCACTCAGGAAGAAAGTCACAGGTCTGTTGTGCAGGCTCATGAAAATTCTGCTGCATTTGGGTTTGTCGTACAGTCAAACACCTTACACCCAATTAAGGCCCAATCTTCATCATCATCACCATCACTCTCCGACAGACCTTTTTGCATTTACTGCCAATGCCAGGGACATACTTATGATTGGTGCTGGACAAGACTTAGTATATCTCCTTCCCAAAATAAGGGAAGAGGTCATGGTTACGGGCACAGAACATCTCGTCCTATTAAGCCCCACCTATTCCATCTGCTGTTGCAGTCCAAGTTACTCCATCTGAGCATGCATCTCCAGTAGCAACAAATGTTGTGCATCCTGCCCAGTCTGCTCCGTCCATCCTTGGTCTCACCATCGAGCCAATCCACCGACTGTTTACTTTAATTGAACCTTCATCTACATCCAACCTTCTTTCTGGTAAGCAGGCACATAAGGAGCAATGAATAATTGATAGTGGGGTTTCTCATCATATGCCGGGTACTCTCTCTTTGTTACATAATGTTCATGATATCTCTCCATCCTTTGTTAGATTATCCAACACGAAACAAGCTTCAACAATTAAGGAAGACTCAATTATTTTACAATCTGAATTTATTTTACAATATGTTCTATATGTTCCCAACTTTACTGTGAATCTTGCTTCTATTAAAAAATTAATTTGTGATTTAGACTATTTACTGACTTTCACTCATTGTTACAGGACTGCATCATGAGGAACCTGATTGGATTAGTTGAGCTGTAGAATGGAGTCTATATCTATAAACCTGTCTTCAACGCGGTAGCATATGCAATCCATGGCTAAAATTCCTACGAACTGTGGCATCGTCGGATGGGACATCTCTCCCTTAAATCATTATCTATGTTGCCTATTTCTGGTTCTAAATTAAGTTTGCATGCACCGAATAAACTTTATGATATTTGTTGTCGAGTAAAACAAACTCGAAATAACTTTCTTCTTAGTACTAGTTGTGCTACAGACATATTTGAATTGATTCATTATAATATTTGGGGTCTACACCGTAGTTCTACTTTTTGTTGTGTTTGGCATTTTCTAACTATTATTAATGACTGAAGTAGTGCTATTTGGGTATATTTGATGCGTGATAAAAGTGAAGTTAGCCATTTGTTACGCAATTTTTGTATCATGATTCATACTCAGTTTGATAAAAAGGTAAAAACTATTCACAATGACAATGGGTTAGAGTTTACTTCTAATTCTATGAAACAATACTATGTGGATAATGGTATTCTCCATCAAACTATCCTTGTTGACACTCCCCGACAAAATAGTCGTGTCGAGCGCAAGCATCGACATATCCTCAACGTTGCCCGAGCCTTACTTTTTCAAGCTTGCCTTCTTATTGAATTTTAGGGTGAATGTATCTTTACCGTTGTACATTTAATTAACTATACTCCTACTTCGGTTCTACATGGTCTCACCCCCCACAGAAAATTATTTTCTTCACCACTTTCATTATCACATCTCCGAACTTTTGGTTGTTTGTGTTACGCACATCACAAGTCTAGTTCCCATGATAAATTTTCACCGCGAAGTTGTCGTGTATGTTTTTGGGGTACCCACATGGAAAAAAGGGATGGAAATTATTGAATTTAAAACATATGAAATTTTTGTGTCCTAAGATGTATTCGATGAAAACTTTTTTCCGTACTCATGTTCTGCACCTCTTACTCAGTCTCTCACATAATCCACTGCCTCTCATCAATTCAATGTTGACTGAAACCGGCCAATTTCCCATCTCATCTCCTTGAGCTCTCTAATAGGGGGAGTTGTGTCCAGTCCTTACAACACCACTTGTCCAACACCACATCATCTTCTATTGTCGAACCCCCTCTTATTTTACTTTTAGACACGTCCCAACAGAATGCTCAACCAGCTTTACCCGAACAGCCCATGTAGATGTTGGGCCATGGCCATTGCTTTTGATATCTTTTGTCTCATCTTTGGGACTATGTTTATTACACCGCACAGGTTAAAGACCCCTCTCCACTCATCTCTACCCATGGTGGTTCCTCAGGTATGCAATATCCTTTACTTAACTATGTCTCATGTGACTAATTTTCTGCTAATCATAAGATTTTTCTTGCTATTGTTTCCATTAGGGTTGAACCCTGAACTTTCCTCGAAGCCATGCAGGATCCTAAATGATGCGAGGCCATCCGTGCTAAGATTGATACTCTTGAAAAAATTTGTACATGGACACTTAAGACTCTCCCTCCAGGTAAAAAGTCGATTGGTTGTAAATGGGTATACAAAATCAAATATCACTCTGATGGTTCTATTGAATGCTACAAAACCCGATTGGTAGTCTGTGGTGATAATTAGGTTGAAGAATTGGATTTCAATGAAAATTTTGATCATATAGCTAAGTTGGTAAACGTTTGTGTCTTTTTAGCTGTTGTTGTTACTAAAGGTTGGGAGCTGCATCAAATAGATGTCAATAATGCGTTCTTGCACGTAGATCTTCATGAAGAGGTTTATATGTGGTTGCCTCCTGGGTTTTCTGTCCATCACCCAGATAAGGTTTACTGGCTGCGGAAGTCTATCTATGGCCTTTGACAATCTTCCTGCAACTAGTTCATTAAACTTGTTTATTATCTTCATCATTATGATTTTTACCAATCCCATACAAATCACACTTTGTTTACATATCGCAAAAAAGATGTTTTTTTAATAGTGTTTGTATATGTTGATGATCTCATCTTAGCAGGCAATAACTCTCAAGCATGTTAGTCATTCAAGAATTATCTTAATGCTTATTTTCATATAAAGGACCTAGTAACCTCAAATATTTTATCGGTATCAAAGTAGCACGTAATTCTAATGGTCTTTTCTTGTGCCAATGTAAATACACATTGGATATCTTGCAGGAATCTGGCCTTACTGCTGCCAAACTAACATTTATACCCATGGAACAGAATCACTATTTGGCTTATGCATTTGGTCCATTTCTCATTAACCTTAGACAATATCATCGCTTTGTTGGTTGTTTGGTATTTCTAATTATCACGAGGCCTAACTTATGTTATTCGGTCCACATTTTGTCTCAATTTCTTCATGTGTTATATCAAGTACATATGGATACTGCTTTACACATACTACGTTGTCTCAAAGGCTCCCCAAGATAAAGAATTTTTATGAACACCAATAGCTTTTTGCAATTGTTCGCATATTGTGATTTCAATTAGATTGCTTATTCGTTGACTTGCCATTCATTGTGTATTTATTTTATGCATCTTGGTGTCTCACCTATCTCTTGGAAGACCAAGAAATAACTTATTGTGACTCACTCATCTGCTGAAGCTAAATATCGTGTTATCATTGTTACTACTTGTGAGCTCACATAGCTTAAATCCTTTCTAGCTTTATTCGATGTATTTCACAAGCAACTCATGCGGCTTTTCTGTGATAACCAGGTCACACTTCACATTGCTTCCAATCTGGTCTTTCATGAACGAAAAAAATATATCGAAGTCGATTGTCATTATGTGCAGGAACAACTTTTGGCAGGTAATATCTCTACTTCATTCCTACGCTCCTCTCAACAACTTGAAGACCTTTTCACCAAAGCTCTTGGATGCTAGCAGTTTCATACATTATTGAGCAAGTTAGGCGTTCAAAATCCTCATACTCTAACTTAAGAGGGAGTATCAAGGATAACTATAAATATCATTGTGATAAGATTCTACAAATAATCCTCTGTTATATTAGCTTCTCACTACAACTCAAACTTGTCTATCAGTGTACAACTACAATTCCTGTAATCTTTAGCTTTAAATAGCCTCTTGAGTATCAATAATAAAACAGATCAACAATAGAAAGTTTATCAATTTGATTTTAAATAAGATCTTACCTATAATATTATTATTATCCACCACTTCTAACAAATATAAAAGATAACATGTGTCGAGGTAAATTAGCTATTTAAATATACACTAAGCTGTCTTTGTATTCAACAGATTCTATAAAATCTAATACATTTAGTTCTTACGAACTTAGTTTTTATTCACATACTATATGTAACATTGACGTAATGTCTATCTAATCATGCTAAATATGGGACGTTGAACTTGTATGAAAATTTACTTTTTTCCTATTATTCATCTCGCAATTTCCTAATGAAGTAACTTAATTAACTTAGGTATTAGAGTATATGCAACAAGGACGCCTTTAGCCCTTAAATATCTCTATTTATGTGTTTATAGGTTCTTTTCAAAAAATGAACATATCTTAATTATTAAAAGATACCTGTAATACAAAGTAAGATCATTTCTCATTAAAAGAAACAATTAAAGGATGACAAGAAACACAACAACATGAATGAGCCTTCAAAAACCAACTCCTAAACCTTAAATGTCTGCTTTAAATCATATGTTGATCCTGTATCACTAATAATCCCTAAACTAGATAAGATAAATAAGACCTTCGGTCACAACAAGCTAATTTACGAATCTCGTAATTTTAAGACTTGATTAAACTTGTTACGAGATAACTTAAATTAACTCATAGCACTACTAATAAAAGAAGGTGGTCAATTAAAAACTATTTAAAACTGCAAAAAAAAGGGTATGTTACGACTTGATCCATCAAATGTAATCATATAATTTACTATTTTGCCTAAAAAGTTCACGATGATGATGTGAAGGAACCTTATGTTGGCAACTCAAACTTGAATAATCATATCAAGCACATCAAAGCTTTTAATATTATGTACAAGGTATTTTACTCCATGTTGTGCCAAGTGTTCCATTTTTTTCAATAAAAATGACTACCAATTAGTACTTTTTCCTACCAAAAACTTAATTTCTTTGTAAAAAAAAAAAAAAAAAATTTATGAGTAACTTCATTAATGGTAGAAACCAATAAAATAAAAAAAACCATGACCATACAACTAGTAAGAAATTTACAACAATATTTAAAGAGCCTTGACTTAGAGAATTTATGAGTCTAAAACATAAGCGAAACAATTGTTTTATTGTTCATCATAAAAACCTTAAATTGAGTCTTTGTCGAAGAAGTAACAACAAACATTATTGAACTCTTCGTTGGAATTATTAAAAAAAAAAAAAAACATCGATATAGGAGAGGCAACAATATAAAATGGACTTGAGAAAAGAAACTCTGACTTTATAATTATATTAGCTAAAATTTTGAATTAATGTTCTTATATTATAATAATTATATATTTGTGTTAAATTTTATTAATAAAAAATAAAAATAAGATGGAAAATGACGTAATATTGTAATTTCATAAAGCATGAATATAAAAATAAAATAAACAATAAAAAAATTCAACCAACTAAAAGTAAGAACAATAAAAATTTCATTCAACCCTTATCATTCCTAATCTACTTAGGACACTTTGTGGCGTTTATACTTCTCCGTTAAGGAATTACTTTTGATGTTGTATAAAAACACTCGTACGCAAAGTATTGTGTGAAGATTTACACCTAAAACCTGTCGTAGCGAATTACTTTTATCTCTTGATTAAAGAAGTGTTTAATTTTTATTAAAATCGCCACCGTAAATTAGGTGACATGAAAGATCAAAACCTGCTCTGCTCTGCTCTGACTCTTCCTCTTCTCTCTACTTAAAACCTTAAGAGTAAACCCTGGGCCAATGACCGGCGCTGGAGAAGACGCGCCGGCCCCGCTGGAGTCTAACGGCGGTGAATTCTTGCTATCTCTCATCCAAAAGCCCCGGCAGCAGCAAACCTCACAGCAGAGTTTACCCAGTGGGTCCACTCCCATTACTCCAAAGACTCTCCATCAACAATCTCTCGTTATCGATCCCGCTGTTGCGGCTGTTGGCCCCAGTATAGCCTTACCGCCGTCACCGTGGCCAGCCAATGGTTACGATCTTCCTTCTCCAGTTGTCCATCCTCCCTGGTCTCACCCTCTCGCCCCGCCTTTCCCTCCCGGTTTCTTAGGGTTCCCTCAATTTCCGGGGAACCATCTCTCCCCGAACCAATTCCCGGGAAATCAAAGGGTCTTGCCCGAGGATCTTCACAAATTGGGGTTTCATGGAAACGCAAAGTACGGAATTCACAACCTAGCCCAGCACAAGCAGCAGGAACAGCACAAGCTTGTGTTTGGCTCCTTGCCGAACAACAGTGTTCAGAGCCGTGATGGATTACTAAACGGAAGTTTACCAGAAAACTCCAAGTTCAATTCAGTCAAAGACCTCGAGCACGAAGTGAGGAGTCGGCAGTTGATGAATTCCAATTCCAGCCCAAACTCATCTCAGCATTGGAGTTTCGATTCTGGTGAGCGGGAACGGAGAGGAGGAGTCGGAGGAGGAGGCAGCGGCAGAGGAGGCAGCGGCAGAGGAAAGCTGCAGCAGAGTGGGCATTATAAATCCACGCCACCTCCTGGATTCTCCAACAGGCAGAGAGGAGGCCATTGGGAATTTGGGACTAATGATAACAATAGCAGGAGGAGGGGACCGGACCGTAATGTGGGTAGGGCAAAGGGGGACATGAGTGAACTGAGTAATAGAAGTTCTCAGGCCGACATTGAAGAAGAAAGATTAAGGAGATCATCTATTGTAGATGGTAATGATGTCGGGCTCAGTGGACAGTTCAATCACCCTGGTCTGCCTGCCGGGAGCAATCTGCATTCTGTTTCAGCATCTGACGTTGAAGATTCAATGTTGGAGTTGCACTTTGGGGTTCCTGAAGAAGCAGATGGAGAGGGTTACGAGAGGGAGGAGAGGTTGAGACGGGAAGGTGAAGAACTTGTTGATTCTTTATTGCTGGAGGGGGAAACCGAAGGAAGGGATGAGAAGAGGCAGCATCGAAACTTCCGTGAAAAGGTCTACTCACCATACCATCATCTATGATTATAAATATGTTCAAACATATCTTTAGTGATTAGTAGTTTATACCGAGGGAATCCGGAAGTGGTAGGTAAAGACTTGTCGGATGGTTAGTTCTAAGAATGCACTGGTGGGTATTTGGCACTATGGTTATTAATCAGAGGAAACTAAAGGTTATGCTATTGTAATTGCATGTATATAATGAGTGTGAAAGTGAAACTGGCACTGTATTTGAGAAATTGACCTTCACTTGGAAGGATAGCATTCTATCTATCTCTCCTGAAAGATTAAGTTTATGTTTAAATGAGGGTTTCACTTTTTGTTTTGTTTTCAGGAATCCCGAGTAGATAGCCGGGGACAGCGTCTGCTTAGCCAAAGGCTGAGAAACTTAAGAAGGCACATTGTATGTCGCAGAGACATAGATAGCCTAAATGCTCATTTTCTTTCAATTTACGAGTCTCTGATGCCTCTGGAGGAAGAAAAAGCAAAGCAAAAGCAATTGTTGAAGTTGTTGGAGAAATTAGTTCGTGAAGAATGGCCTGAAGCTCGGTTATTCCTTTATGGATCATGCGCTAATTCATTTGGAGTTTCTAAAAGTGACATTGATGTTTGCCTTGCAATTGAGGACACAGGTACTAAAAAGTCCGAGATATTGTTGAAGCTGGCAGATATTTTGAAATCAGACAATCTCCAGAATGTGCAGGTGACTGGCAGATTTGCTAGAAATGCTGTATTAGCAATTTACTTTAAAGAAAGATATATTAGTGCCAAATGGTTCCCGATATTTTTGTTTAAGCCCGATATGCATTCTTATTAAATCTGTATTGGGGTTTAGTTTACTGGAAGAAAGGTGTTGGGTAAATCCGTCTTGGGATTTAGTTCACTGAAAAGATGACCCAGTGATACCATGCAATATCTAACTAGATGTTCTTTTGCTAATGTAACAGGCATTAACTCGTGCTAGGGTCCCTATAGTAAAGCTTATGGATCCAGTGACTGAACTATCATGTGACATATGTATAAACAACATTTTGGCTGTTGTAAATACAAAGCTTCTTCGTGATTATGCACAAATAGATTCAAGATTAAGGCAGTTGGCTTTTATTGTGAAGCACTGGGCAAAGTCCAGAGGAGTTAATGAAACTTATCAGGGAACCCTATCCAGCTATGCGTAAGTGCTCTTTTTAATGCTATGCTAGAATGTTTATAACCTAATACGTCAACTTGTAATCTCAGTAGCAGCATTATTAGAAGCTTGATTGTGGTGTGGTTATAGTAGTAGGACGTGTGCATGGTTATCGTGTGCATGGTTAGTGCTTTGTTCAAAATTACAATGGGCAAGTAGTCTAAGTAGGACCTATGGTTGGTGCATTATTAGAAGCTTGACTGTGGTGTGGTTATAGTAGTAGGACCTGTGCGTGGTTAGTGCTTTGTTCAAAATTACAATGGGCAAGTAGTCTAAGTAGGACCTATGATGTTTATTTGCTCTTTATAATAAACTATGTCACCTAATTTCTATTGTCTCTTCAGGTATGTTTTAATGTGCATTCATTTCTTACAGCAGCGCGAACCTGCTATCCTTCCATGCTTGCAGGTATGTATTCTTAAATTTTCTTTTTATGTTTTTTATTTTAAAAAAATCTTTTTATGTTTTACTTTTCTCTTCTCACATGAAGCTTTTGTATGTGAGCATTGTAGATGTCTTCCCTGCCTTAGTGAGTTTACTAGGACTACTAATTTTCTTTTCAAAAAAGGAACTTACGGACCTAAATTTTTTTTGGGGGTAGGAGTAAAGTTGGCCACAGCCAGCAAGGTTTGCATTCGAGTCTTCCTTGTTGGGAGGCTAGGATATGGCAACTTGCAACACAAGGCCTTGGTCTATGAATTAATAATTACTTTCAATGCGGCAAATATTTACTACAGCTCTTTCACATTTGTGCTTGATAAGTTCATAATTGTTATGTGCTCCAATAGTTAATAAATTCAATTGGCTTTGTAATTGTATGCCAAGGAAAAAAAAAGAAATGGATAAATCTTTTTTAAAAGACGGAAAACAAAGAAGAAAAGGATTACTTTTAGAAATAAATGAAACTCAAATAATCTATCACCTAGAAGATTGTCTATACATGTTTGGTCCCTAAAGTGGATCTTGCCATGGGTTTGTTGTGCAGGGAGAATCCTTCGATCAAATAGGACTTGTTAATAGAGAACCCTTCCTTTTCTGAATTTGATATCAAATACACACTTCATTGAAGATAAATCTTGCCTCTCAATGCACTGCCAGAATTGCTGTTATGAGTCTTTTAAGGTGAACTGTAGTAAAATTATTATTGGTCAACCTAGTTTTTAAGAGATTCTCTCATTGGAAAATTTAGGAAGAATGGACTGTAATTTCAAAGATGTGTATTCTAGTAAGTAGGTGTGATAGTTCTGTGGAATAATCTGCCATAGGCAGGAGGGTTTTTGTGTTAAGTTTGTTTGGGTAAGTCAAACCACCGATTGTGGATGTTATTTCAGTTGCTGGTGTTAGGGAGGATAGTTTGTATCCCCAAGTAGGCAGTTAGGCTGTAATTTACAGACCTATATAATTAGGTTATGTTATGTGATATGTACGCAGACAGTTTGTCTTAAAAGTTTCTTAAGTACTTGACTTAAGGAGATATTTAGGTTCTTTCTTGAGGAGCCTTAGTATTCATCTTCACCATCAGTTTGAAGGGAAGAAAGTACCCAGAGAAAATCTGGTTCATCTTTGTAAGGAGCCTTGGCATCCATTTTCAGTGTAGCCATTTCTTTACCTTTGTTTGCTTTTGTTCAGTTTGCCAAAGGCATAAAGGTGGAACATTTGCAGCCTGCAGGGCTGCTTCAACGCTTGCCCATTCGTACCCAGATTTGGGACCGGACATTTTAATGGATTTTGTGGATGCTTGCCTTTGTCCCATGGAAATATGGTTTTTATTGGTCTGG